CAAACCCAAGCGTTAGAGATCCACACAAAATAAGGCAATTCCAACCTGGATCCTGTCAGGGCGACCCACCCTTCCACCCTCTCTCCCTCCATGGTGGGGGCCTGGGTAGCCTGAGTGCAGCTCCTTCCTTGGAGGCAACCAGCAAGCAAACAAACGTGGGGCTCTGGCTGGGAGGTGGTGGTGTGGAGTCCCACCTCTGGCCAGCAAGAGTGGGGCTCGCACCTTCCCTGCCACCACTGAGGTGCTGGTGCTGGCCGAGAAAGACACGCGAGCCAAAAGTTTGCAGCTGTGCTTAGCGGAGTTTGCAAGCGGGCTTGGCAGGGCCACTTAGCAGGTGACTCCGACCCCTGGTTTGCTTCAGTGCAGAGTGGGAATGCAGAAGGCAGAGGAAATCCGTGCCTCTCGACATTCAGCCCTCAAAGACTCCTTTGGGACAACTTTTTCTGCTTTTGAAACATTACACTTAGCAACAATAAAAAAAGAAAAATTCTTGTAATATCATTTCTCTTTCCCTCCCCCTCTTTCTCTCTTTCTCCCTCTCTTTCTCTCTCTTTCTCTCTGCCTCCCTCTGTTTCTTTCTCTCTCCCCCCCTCATGGGTGGGGAGAAACTACTGAACTGATGCTAGGTGGTACAAATGACGAGCCCAGGAGCAGCACACTCATGCTCATCTGGCTGGCAGGGAGGCAGGACATCCCAACACAGGCAGCTCTGCAGTAAAAGAAACTGCTTTTTTTTGGCTGACCCAAGACGATGCAGGTTCACATTGTGGCTCCACATTGTAATGGGCTTCAGGAGGAAGACAGGACCCCGTCTCCCCCATTGTGAAGCGTGTGAGTGAAAAAGTTCACTCGATCAATTCCAACTTCGTGAGATTTTTTTCTTTTGCAGGAAGTTGGAATTGAGTGAAACGCGATGGAGAAACACGATTGGAGCTGGACTGGGGCGATTGCATGCGTGCCCACAGAGAGGGCTCTGCACACGTGCCATAGGTTCGCCATCCCGGTTATAGATGTTTTCCTTCTTTGGCTGCTGGTCTTTTGATTTATTTAGGATGTTGTGGACAGCCTTAGTTGACTTATGTGCTACAGTGATTCCATGTGGTTGTAGTAATCTATTGGTGATTTGAATTGATGTGTACAAATAATTGCATTCCGATCATATACTGTAAGTTTCATTTTAAAATGACAACTTTTTAGCATGTATATCTATTAGAAAATAAATGTTACTTAATCCAGTGATATTTGTTCCCAGGAAGTAAGTGGGTGTGTATATGTGTGTGTGTGTGTGTATTTGCAAATGAAATATTTAAGACATTTCTAAATTGATTTTAACTAATACATTCTACAGAGCCCATTAAGGTATCAAGCTAAAAATCAGGAATCTGCGAGTTCTAGTTCTGTCTTAGACATGAAGTCAGCTGGGCGTTCTTGGACCAGTCACTTTCGCTCAGCCCTTGGAAGGAGGCAATGGCAAGCCATTTCTGAAAATCTTGCCAAGAAAACTTGGCGACTAGTCTAGTTAATCACCAGAAGTCAACACTGACTTGAAGGTTCCATCTATCATCTATCAATCATCTTTCATCTAGCAGCTAGCTGATGACAAACCTGAAATCTATGTACCCACTGTTTTTTGAAATTAATAAAGGTATATTAGTATGCTTTAGATTTGACTTCATTTGAGAAACGACAACAAGTGTGCCTGGAATTAGTTCTTAGTCAAATGAGTATGCCTTAGCAAGTAGTAAATATTATATGTAATTTATTGCTTGGGAAAAAAAGCTGTAGAATCACTAGTAAAAAAATTTAATATATATATAAAGATAAAGCTCTTTAAGATTTTAAAAATATGTTACAAATTAAAATTTAATGAAGCAGTAAGAATACTTCTGAAGAAATAATTAAGTGAATTAATGTCAGAGAACGTACTAGAAATTTCAGAGGAAATTTTCAGAGCGATTGAAGATTAATTTCTCTAATAGAACAGAATTTGTATTGAACTATAGAAGTTTTAAAAGCATTTGTTTTAATATATGCAATAATGTACTAAACGCGTGCATCCATAGACATTATATCTATTAATATTACACAGTTTAAAATACAATTCAAACAGGGAGCCTTGATTCAACACTGGTACAGAGCCATTTAATTTGTGTACAATCTAAACAATCTAAAGTTACAATCTAAACAAATCTTTTGTACTTCTAGCATAAATGAGTTTTGAGTGCTATCATTAAAATAGATAAAATATACTTTTCCTGCATCTGAAATAACTTAGTAGTTACTGGTATTTACCTCATCTTTTTCAATATACTTCTTGCAGACTGATAAATGTAATGGGCACTTATAAAAGGAAACGTAAAACTATACCCCAATTCTGAGAATTACTACAAAGGCAGATTTTTTATATATACCGTATTTCCCTGAAAATAAGACTCTGTCTTATACTTTTCTGAACCCTGAAATAAGGCCAAGCGCTTATTTATTGCCGTATTGCTATACACTCAAAAGCCCAATTGGTCTTATTATCGGGGATGTCTTATTTTGGGGAAAACAGGGTATATAACAAGACTATCTACTCTTATTGTTGAAGGTTCTGTTTGCAATTGTAAAATGCTAAATGTTTGCTGAACATTGCAGAAGGTTATATTGTCTAATTATTCTGTTCCAGTTCCATTTCATCCTGCCATATTAAGATAAAAACTTGGATAGAACTATAAGATTCTTATCCCTTCAAGTATCCAAATTACTGTATAACACTGTAAAGTCTTGCAGTTCTTAGGAAAGGTAGTTTTGACAATGAATCCTTGTCCAACAGTTCACTGAAGGCAGATTGGCATCCACTTTGTTGAATTAACAAAGACAAGAATGAACTAAACTAAATTAAACTAAAATGTGGACTGTTTCAAAGAAATACCTTTGCGAAGAGGGTTCAGGAATTTATCAATATGACCTTAATTCAGAGTGAGCCCATTCATTTTGTACAAGATAGCCAAGATTTTGTGTAATATTTTGTGAAACTCATTTTCTTACATGCTGGACATATTTCTTCAAACTTTTGGAAAGCTGGAAAATTTCTGCTCCAAACTGCATTTGTGGTCTAAGGAAATAGTAACCATGAACATAATGGAAATATTATTTAAAACATTAAAAACCTTTAATGTGGTTTAATAGCCATTGCAACTTGATTATTGTTGTACACAGCTCTGTAATACTGTAGTTTAGTTTCTACAATCTGGTTTATTTGCAGTAACACAGATATCTTATTAATAGTTACTAGATTGTTCTGACTATAACGGAAATCACAAATCATGCAATCACTTCATAATCACAATCACTGACTCTAACACAATCACAAATCATAAACCCTTAGATTACATACAAAACCATCATTACATACAAACACCCAGTTTTATCAGGGTTTCAGCTAGATCCAAGCACTAAGCAGGACAGCAACCCTTTGGGAATGGGATTCTTTACAAAGCACATTTGTAGGGTTCCTGGTTCTTAAATGCCTCTCTGGATCAGTTGTTTAATTAACAGTTTGCTTGTATCTCCTAAATAGAGTCATTTGGCTAAGGCAGTTCACAAACGTGACAGCTGCTACCAGAATTCTCTTAGCTAAGATACTAAAATAGATCTATGTGAAAATTACTAATAATGTAAAATATATGGCCTATTTTTAGATGGACAGATATGTTGAAGTACACATGCTTTCGGCTGAAATGAACACTTTGAGTTTAAAGCCATTCACATCCTTTTATATAGCCACCTACACTACCAAAAGTAATTCCCATCGGCCTTTATGAATTACCATTTAATATGCACGAGAATTATTATACATATACTTAATGTAGGTTTATATATAGAATCTGGATTATAAAGGCAGGCATTTCACATTTGAGGCAAATGTAAGAATTGTGAAAAGAATGTAATATTCCTGAGAATATTTTTATTTTCCTTCAACCATTATGGGCCCTAAAGTCTGGAAGTCTGTTCATCCAAATTGAACTAGGTCTAGGATTATTAGAGCAGAATGAGACTATGATAATAGTTTTGTAATCCTGAATGTCTATCCATATTATTTTCTTTTCATATTAAGACAGATCAAATAGCTTTCAATACATGTGCCCAAGTAGTTAAAATAGTATAAATTTTATCCCATTTCCTGCCTGTTTTAGCAGGAGTGAATTTTATCCATTCAGTTAAAAATTTAATTTCATTTACAGTCTTCACTATATAAACATACTCAACTGTCTCTAATGTATACTAATTAACTTTAATTTTCAAAATAATTTATGCAATTTGCCTTTATGTTTATCTTCGTTTAGTGAATTTTCAAGAACTAGATTTTGTAATGTATCCCAATATAGTTTCCTTTTTAAAGAAACTAAAGACTTTTCTATACATTAAAAAAAAAAGTTTTGTCTTGCATTTCTCACAAATACTTTCTGTGTAATTGTAGACATTTGAGTATCAAAATATTGCTATGCTGTTATCCAACTTGATGGTTTTTCATAAACTTAAAGTTTATTTATTTTGAAAAAGTTGAGTCATTTTTAGTGTATGCATATATATATATTGGCAGAGTTAGGAATATTTTTCTAAAACCTTCTACTGAATGAAACATAATGCATGTATCTACAGAAATCAATGTTTTTAAGTAATAATAACTATTACATAGTCTTTATAGTAGTCTCAAATAATTAACCAATTAATAATTAATTATAGTACCCTCAAATAATTAACCAATTAATAATTACTTTCATTAATCACCTAGAGTTTCTACCAGTTCTCTCTCTGTGTGTGTGTGTGTTTTCCTGTATGAAACATTTTATTATGATCAAAATTATGACTCTGATGGGTTGAATTCAGAATAAATTTCTCATGGAAGAAATGAATGCACATAAAATCACACTTTAATCTTCAATTCAGCTTGTATGTAACTTTGTGTTTAAAAAATGCTATAAGTTATTTACTAATATATTATGTTTATTTTTCAGGAAATGTTTTTGTAGTCAACTTAGCTATCGCCGATCTGATCGTAGCTATCTACCCATATCCTCTGATCTTGACATCTGTCTTTCATAATGGCTGGAACCTTGGATATATACACTGCCAGCTCAGTGGATTTCTTATGGGCCTGAGTGTGATTGGATCTATTTTCAACATTACAGGCATTGCTATTAATCGATATTGCTACATCTGCCACAGCCTCAAGTACAACAAGTTGTACAGTGAAAAGAATTCTGTCTGCTATGTTGTTCTAATCTGGACTTTGACTTTTGTTGCTATTGTGCCAAACTTTTTTGTTGGATCCCTTCAGTATGATGCTAGGATTTATTCATGTACTTTCTCTCAGTCAGTAAGTTCCACATACACCGTAGCAGTGGTCTTTTTTCATTTCATTCTTCCAATAACCATAGTAACATTTTGTTACCTGAGAATATGGATCCTCGTTATCCAGGTACGGAGAAGAGTTAAACCTGACTACAAACCTAAGTTAAAGCCACATGATTTCCGGAACTTTATCACCATGTTTGTAGTCTTTGTACTGTTTGCAGTCTGCTGGGCTCCATTGAATTTCATCGGCCTTGCAGTGGCTGTCAGTCCAGAAATGATAATTTCCAAGATTCCAGAGTGGCTGTTTGTTTCCAGCTACTACATGGCATACTTCAATAGTTGCCTTAATGCTATCATTTATGGACTTCTAAATCAGAACTTCCGTCGAGAATACAAACGAATACTTAGGACACTTTGTACAAGAAAAGTTTTCTTCCAGGACAGTTCTAATGATGCTCCAGAAAGGATAAAAAGCAAGCGCTCACCCCTGCTCACAGAAAACAATTTAGTGAGGGTTGGGTCAGTATGAGGGGAGAAATCTAGTTACTAACAATTACTAAATATTATGTTACATGACACCCAAGTATTAAATTCACGTACTAGCCTTGTTCTTCAACTTCTGTTACAATACATGGAAACTTACATGTATATATTGTATGCATTTAGATAAGATTATATGTATAACATTTTGGAACCAAGCTAATAATTACATATTCTATTATCACATTATGTATAATGTTACACACAGCAGGCATGATTTCAACAAAGATACTTGAAAACCATTGGCAATAGTTAAGAAAATATGTCAGTTACACTTGACATTGATTAGATAATTTCCAGTAATTCAGTGACATCACAAATGTACATTGCACTCCTACACAAGTCTTTTCTAATGTAAGATCACTGAATTCATAAAGGCTTGTAGTTGGGTACATGAAGGTATAGAATTGTAGTTTTGGGTTATTAACAGAATTATAAAATAATTCCCTGTAAATTACTTGTGTAATTTAGATTAGCCCAAAAAATGGATTAAAACTAATCAGCTCATTACTTTGATTTCCTATGCTTATCACAGCTTCTTCCAACATTCAGCAGCCTCTTCCATTGCTAGCTATCCTAGAAGAGATTCTGTCAGTACACACAGTTTTAAAAAATGAGATTGTGAGACTTAGTTGCTTCTTTGCCTCAACCAAAGGAACATTATAATTATATGGCTCCAAATCTATTTCTGTTGCCAATAATTTGGAAGCACATCTTAGAACCAGAAAAGCTTTTGATATGAAGCCTCCTTTGATCTGCCTAAGACAAACTACAAGATCATTTCCCTTTTTGCTTTTTTGGACATCAGACCTGGATGAGGTCTTGAAAGGCTGGAAAGGGAAAATTTGTTTTCTTTATGTTCAGAAGGGGCAGGGTATCTTTAACTTAAAGTTGCAATAATATGTCCATTTTATTCTGGATAATAAAATATTTTATTAAAATTGTGAAATAAAATATTGGCACATTAAAAAAACAAGCATTAGTCCTTAATTTATATTTTGAAAGAATTTTATTAAAATTAATAGCACATAATGATTTGGTGCTTTAAGGTTAATTCACTTGCATTAATTATAAAGTTACCTGATACATTTGCAGTATATTAGTGGTTAACAAACTTTAATTGTACTAGTAATTTTAATGACTCTTATACACTGATTTATATAATAAGATTTTTAGTTCTCTGATTTTTTTAGAAAAAACTTTAAATTTATGAATATAATTGATCAAATGGGATCTTCTAAAATGAGTTCATGATTAATTATAACTCTTGGTATTTTAAAAATAGAACATAATCATTTTTCAAGAAGAAATTCTGTTTTCATAGAATCAATTTTAGTTAAATTGTAATATCCATTACATCGTAAATTTATTAATTGTTCCCTTTAAAGTATAACAAAAAATATAAAATCCAAGAATCCAAGAATCCCTAATAAACATTAGGGTCCAAGGCTTTGTAGAAACAAAATGTATATCAATCAGAAATAATTTTTCTAATAAATAATTTTTAAAATAAGAACATGAACAAATTTGAATGGGCAGACATAATTTGCCTATAATATTCTTTAAAATAATCTTAGTAATACCTGATTTTTCACAATCATATGAACATTTGTTGGATTAGCAGTAGCCAAGAATCATTATACAAGTTTTTAGATATTAGAAACAGACATGATAAAACCAGTTGTTAACAAAATAATTTGTTTTCTCTAAATAACCCTTGAAATAAAAGTGGATTGAAATAATAGGTTATATATTATCCCATTAATAAAGTCTATATAAATCTGTCCATGAACACTTGATACTCCATGAATATTTCTTCATGAATACTTTACTTGAGGAACAAATGCAACCAGGTTGTTACAGTATATGAGCTTTTTATTAGCATCTGATTAACCTGCAGAAAATTGGAATAAATGAGCATGTTATCAGATTTAGCAAGTCTCTCTTTATATTCCTTGTTTCAATAATTCACAATTCTTACTTTATTCTATCCTGGTAAATTTTAAAATCTGACAGATCTAGCAGAATATTTCTGTTGTCAAAACCTACTGTCTCTTGTGTAGCAGTAACTACTACCATATAACATTCATGTGGAGCCAACCAACTTAATGAAGGAGAAATAAGGTTCACCATACAACTATTTAAGCAGAAGAGTTGTGTTGTTAGAAACTTCTGAAGTTAATCTGATGCTGCCATTGAGAGCATGCCACCAATTTAAAACGTGGGTATGCATTGATACCTGCTCAGATATTTTCATAGGCTACTCCCCAAAATAGTATATCGTTAGCTAAGGGATCTGTACTTTATTCCATGTAAAATTCTTCTATTTAAAATTACTTGTGTTGTGACATCTGCAAATTTGACTAAGTGACCAGAATTTCAGTACTGTTATGATGCAGATTGGCTAGTGGTAACAAATGATGACAAAGAAATTTAAAAATACAAGAAGTGTCATTGCTGTGTAGAATGAAAATGAAAAAGAATTATCATTAATTATACAAAATCAAAATAGGAAAGAGATGAGGTCAGAGAAAGGCGACTACAAAAGTACCTTTCCCAGGTTCTCTTTAGGCCTGGGACTAACTATACCGAGTTAGCACTCTGGTATATCCCTAAAGCTAATGTGAGATATCACTGAAGGAAATAATCCATCCCCTTTTCTCAGGATTTAGCTCACTCACAAGATGTGGTTTTTTTAAAAAAAAAATTGTTAGGGATTTTGACAGTTATTCTGACACTAAGGCTTGTTTTAGATGATCTTAGAGTTTTCATGTTTCTCACTTTCATGTGAGAAACTTCCATGGTGTAAAACTACAGTCGGCTTTCAGCAATCACTGTCAAAGCCTTGCAAAATAAAAATGACTTGGCATGTCTCCATCCATTGCTTGGTAGATGGTGAATTGTGTGGTGAAATGCACCATTATAACATAATAGATGAAATTGGCCTTGGTAGCTATGCTGGACAGGAGACGAGTAAAATATAAGGGGAATCAGGCGGTAGAGTAGTAGAATTTTGTAACAAGAGCTGGTTAGCCCCTCTCAAAATCAGCTATGGATGTTGTTTTAAGTCAAGTATGCTGGATATCAAAGAAATAAATCTTCCTCTGCTTGTATATAATTAGAGACAAAAAAAAAGAATCATGCTATGCATTAAGCCCAAAGTATGTAATTCCAGGAGAAGCAGATTCCAGATGAAAAGAGGAAAAAAGGGGAGATTCATAATAATTTGACCCTAAGATGTAATTTTTATTTCAGAATTTTATAAGTTTCGTAGTCTGGAAGAAATTTTTTTTAAACCACTTGTGGGACAGAATTAATTAGTCATCTGAAGAAGTAAGTTTGAAACAGATCATTAGCTTATTGTGAGAGGCTACAATTTAGCAGATCCTGTGAAACTAGGAATTCAGTAACAAGATAAATACTGGCAAGTCAGAAAGAACAATAATCTTTAAAACAGCAGTCACAATCACAGACTGCAGCTGTGTGAACAAATCAGAGAGTGACTTGTTAGACAAATGATCATCTTCTGCATGAATTATACTGAGACCATAAATGTGAAACAAAATATTTCCATAAAAATAAATCACATCACTTATCTAAAAGACATCATTTATCTAAAACAAATCACTTACCTACAAAACTTTCTGATGGCATAAATTTATTTTAAGTTAAAAATAATTCAGAAATAAAGTGTTAACAATTGGCAAAAAAAACTTATAACCACAACTCAACCCAAAATTTATGTTGTTCAGTGAGAAATTTGTTAAGTGAGTTTTGCTCCATTTTATGACTTTTCTTGTTATGTTTGTTAAGTGATCACTGCAGTTGTTAAATTAGTCACACGGCTGTTAAGTGAATCTGGCTTCCCTATTGACTTTGCTTGTCAGAAGGTTGTAAAAGGGGATCACATGACCCGGGAACACTGCAACTGTCATAAATGTGAGTTAGTTGCCAAGCATTCAAATGTAAATTGTAATCATGGGGATGCTGCAGTGATCTTAAGTGTAAAAAACTGTCATAAGTCATTTTTTTCAGTTTAAAGTTGTAACTTCGAACAGTCACTAAATGAACTGTTGTAAGTGAAGACTGTCTGTGTATTTTGAATGCTATGTAGATCAGGGGTGGGCAACTGTGGCCCTTTTACAACCTGTGGACTTAAATTCCCAGAATTCCTGAGACAGCCAAGCTGATGTAGATGAATGAATAGCACAAAACTGCCCTATCTGAAAGTATCTAAAATAGGAATTAAAATAAGGTGTAAAGATGCTATCAAATTGCAGCTCAGAAAAGAGTTATTGCTTTTCTAATTCAGATTTAAATTCAATTTCCAGAAACCAATGGGAATTGTAGCTGGGTAAAAAGGGAGTACCACGGATCTTGAACAAAGAATTGTCCATAAGCCATGAAAATATAAATTTTTACCTTAGTTGTAATACATATATACCCATAAGTTTCTACTATTTTGAACATCTCAATAATGCTGAAAGCAATGTAGTAACAAACACATTCATATTCATGAATAAGTAAAAATTTACTGGGATTGTAAATATTTATTTGCCTGCAGTGAATCTCTCATCATTAAACAGTAACAGAATAAATATCTACCATATCTCTATCTACTTATTTGTCTACCTTTGCATCTGTCTGGGAATATCAGCAGCAACTTCCAAGTATTAGACAATGTGATTAAATTGCTTCTATTTTTATTCAAATGAACAAATTGATCCAAATTCCCAAAAGCTTTATGATAAAGTCCACATTTAGAATTAGATATAGGAGGGGGGGGGATCATCCTACATAATTTTTGTATACAAATTGACCAAATTCATATCCTTCATAGTTAAAAAGATGATTCTGAATATGTATATGATGAAAGGCTGCACGTTTAAAAAATATCAAGACAATTTGTAATTTTCTTCCCTGCATGCAAAACCCCCCCGTTATGCTAAGGAACAATCTACACAAAAATATGAATATAAAAACCAAATACATATTGGAAAAAGAGCACATAAATGTATATTTGTGGCAAAAAGTACATGAAGGTGTATTTTCATGTCAACTTTTCTTTTGTAAACCGCTGTGAAGATGGGCTCAGATTAAAGCTGCAACTGAGAGAAAATTTAAAATGGATTTATTGTACTTCTGTATATGAATTTATTTATTATTTATTATTTATTATTTAAATTTCTATACCGCCCTTCTCCAAAATAGGACTCAGGGCGGTGAACAGCCAGAATAAAAAACAATACATACAAAATTTAAAAACAATTTAAAATAATTAAATATTTTTGGCCGTAAATTAAAATAACCCAATTTAAAATCAATTTAAAATTAACTCAAGCCAGCCCCGCTAATTGAAATAAATGGGTTTTCAGGGCCCGACGAAAAATCCGGAGGTCTGTTATTGTACGTATCTCCGGGGGGAGGTTGTTCCAGAGGGTGGGCGCCGCCACAGAGAAGGCTCTCCCCCTGGGGGTCGTCAGCCGACATTGTCTGGCGGACGGCACCCTGAGGAGGCCCGCTCTGTGCGAGCGTACTGGCCGGTGGGAGGCTATTGGTGGCAGAAGGCGGTCTCGTAAGTACCCCGGCCCTAAGCCATGGAGCGCTTTAAAGGTGGTCACCAACACCTTGAAGCGCACCCGGAAGACCACCGGGAGCCAGTGCAGCTCGTGCAGGAGAGGTGTTACGTGGGAGCGCCTCGTCGCCCCCATAATCCCCCGCGCGGCCACGTTCTGGACCAGCTGGAGTCTCCGGGTGCACCCCAGGGGGAGCCCCATCTAGAGAGCGTTGCAGTAGTCCAGGCGGGAAGTGATGAGTGCCTGAGTGACCGTGCGTAGGGAGTCCCGATCTAGAAAGGGGCGCAACTGGCGTATCAGGCGGACCTGATAAAAAGCCCCCCTGGCCACGGCCGTCAAATGATCTTCCAAAGACAGCCGTGCATCCAGGAGGACGCCCAAGTTACGAGCCCTCTCCGCGGGGGTGAGTGATTTGCCCCCAATAGCCAGCGATGGCGTCAGCTGGCTATATCGGGACGCCGGAAGCCACAGCCACTCGGTCTTGGAGGGGTTTAGTCGGAGCCTGTTTCTCCCCATCCAGGCCCACACGGCCTCCAGGCACTGGGACATCACTTCAAGGGCATCGTTGGGGTGGCCTGGGGTGGAGATGTACAGCTGGGTGTCATCAGCGTACTGATGGAACTCCACCCCGAAGCCACGGATGATCTCACCCAGCGGCTTTACATAAATGTTGAACAGAAGGGGCGAGAGGACCGACCCTTGTGGCACCCCACAAGCAAGGTGCCTCGGGGTCGACCGCTGCCCCCCTGTCAACACAGATTGCGACCGGTCAGAGAGGTAGGAGGAGAACCACCGCAGAACGGTGCCCCCCACCCCCAACCCCGCCAACCGGTGCAACATGATACCATGGTCGATGGTATCAAAAGCCGCTGAGAGGTCTAACAGGACCAGGATAGAGGAGCAACCCCTATCCCGAGCCCTCCAGAGATCATCCACCAACGCGACCAATGCCGTTTCCATGCTGTGCCCAGGCCGGAAGCCGGACTGGAGCGGGTCTAGATAGACAGCTTCATCCAGGTACCGGGGAAGCTGTTGCGCCACCACACTCTCAACAACCTTCGCAACAAAGCGAAGGTTGGAGACTGGACGATAGTTAGCCAAAACAGCCGGATCCAGAGAGGGCTTCTTGAGGAGGGGCCTCACAACCGCTTCTTTCAAAGCGGCCGGCAGGACCCCCTCATTCAAAGAAGCGTTAACAATCTTCTGGAGCCAGCCTCGTGTCACCTCCCAGGAAGCCAGTACCAACCAGGAGGGGCACGGGTCCAATAAACATGTGGTTGCGTTCAGCCGTCCCAGGACCCTGTCCATGTCCCCGGGAGCCACAGGATCGAACTCCCCCCAGATAACACTCTCAAGACCTGCCTCAGTCATCCTGTCCGGACATACCCAGTCAGAGGCCAGCCCTTCCCGAATCTGAGCGATTTTGTCATACAGATACTGCACAAAGTCCTCAGCTCGGCCCTGCAAGGGGTCATCCCGCACTTCCAGATGGAGGAGGGAGCGGGTCACCCTAAATAGGGTGGCCGGGCGATTATCTGATGACGCGATAAGAGCAGCAAAATAGCTAGATTTCGCCGCTTTTATCGCCACTAGGTAGGTCTTAATATGAGACCTCACCAGTGTTCGGTCGGATTCGGAGCGGCTGGTCCTCCAACTACTCTCCAGGCGTCTTTTCCGGCGCTTCATCTCCCTAAGCTCCTCGGAGAACCAAGGAGCTAGGTGAGTTCGGTGCCGGGTCAGAGGCCGCAAAGGCACGACACGGTCCAAGGCCCCGGCAGCCGCACTATTCCAGGCGGCCACCAGGTCTTCAGCCGAGTCATGAGCCAGAGTCTCAGGAAATGGCCCAAGCTCCATCTGGAACCTATCAGGGTCCATCAGGCGCCTGGGGCGGAACCATCTGGTCGGTTCCGCCTCCCTGCGGCGGGGTGCAGCGGTTAGAAAGTCCAGTCGAAGGAGCGAGTGGTCAGACCATGACTTGCAATAAGGCAAGACATTATTGCAGAACGTCTAATAACAGTTGAGATGAGGCAAGGAAGAATATCTTTTTCATCTATGGACTGCAAATTCTTTTGCCAATTACCTGGAGTTTTGTAGCTTTCTTCATAAAACACACACACACTTAAGTCTTCCTTTTTAAAAAAAATTAGGTATTGCTTCACCCTGAGATAAAAAGAAACTTCTTTTGAGATATATTAAACAAATCAATTTTATATTAATGATTTGGATAAATCCAGAATCCTGTACTCAACTGAATCATTTAGAATGATTTAGCCCTCTTTCCAGAATGTCACATGTTTCCTAAGAGATCCTCTTAAGTGAAATTATTCCAATGAATCAATATGATTTACCAAGTTGGAAGTGAGTCAGTATTATCCCTCATGTGCTACCTACATCTCTTGCATACAGATAAGTTGTATGGGTTTTATATAATATTTTTTGTAAATCTCCTTTGCAAATAGGACATTTGTGTCCTACATTTTCTAGAATATTCTGCTCAATGCTGTATATTCAACTCACATATTTGCTAAGTTAATGCCCCAAACCTGCTTTACACTGTACTTAAAACTGAAATCTACTATTAGTAATGAACTTATGAAATCAAAAATTGTTCATCAAAAATAGGAACTTTTCTGATTCATCACACATATCTCACAATTCTGGACTCTTAAACTGGACAACAAGAATCAGAGGAACAAGAGACAAAGTCCTTCTCATAATTGTAAAAATTGCCCGCCTTTATACAACTGTCTCAAGTACCTCAAATCAAAGCAGATTTCATTTCATTTCATATTTATAAGTGTGTGCATAGGTTATCAGCAGACAGATATATGAAAGGCAAAAGTAAACTTGATATCAAAAGTCTAAAGATAAGGGGGGGCATTCAAGGACATATCAAGAATATAAAAATATAAACAGAATTAAGAAAGAAAATAAAGGGAAAGAAAATTTCATACAGGGTAATTTTTAATTATATATTGTTAAAGAGGTAGAAGTAATGATGTGGAACAATAAGAAAAAGTTATGATTGGCTATCTGGCATTGAATAACAACATTCTAGACCACAATATTTATTTCATATTCCATTAAATTTTTCTATCTGATTTAACAAGCAATCCAAATGAAAAATATTAATACAAGCAGCTCAGTTTAGTAATCACAATGACAAATCTTACTTAACTATATAATATAAATTGCTAGTATGTCCCTTAAAAGTATCAATTACATCAAAAGATAAATCTCTGAATCAAAATATATTATATAGTAAATATATGAGTTATTCATCTGGGAGAATTCTCTATGTACCTTTTTGTATAACTTTGTGTCATTAGAGAACTGTTGTGTAATTGGACTAGAATTTCCATTGCTAAGCAATATGGTCATAAAACACAACATCACATGACAATGCCATGGCAATTCTGGTAGTCTCCAGTTACCATTGTTAAGCAAATCACCATGGATCACTAAGCAAAGATTTCCCATGAATACAACTTCTAATTTCCTCCTGGTTTCTCCATTGACTTTGGTTATGAGAAGCTGGCAGGAAATCAAGAACTCTGAGAACTGGTTAGAAATATCACTCATTCCCTGCCATTACAGGTTGAAACAATCACTGAATAAGTGACCATCAACCAAGGGCCAACCTGTAATGTTGTTGCTAGTAATGCTAGTCCTTTCAGGCTCTAGGGGGGTTGCTCATCGCTGTTTCTAAACCGAAAAGCCGGGGCTGTCTGAAGACATCTCCATGGCCATGTAGCCGGCATGACTAAATGCTGAAGGCTCACAAAGCGCTGTTACCTTCCCACCAAAGTGGTCCCTATTTTTCTTCTTGCATTTTTTTATGTGCTTTCAAACTGTTAGGTTGTCCTTACCAAAATCAAAGTAGACTCTCAAGATATTGAGATAATAGAGATAAGAGCCTTGGTAGTACAGGGGTTTAAGGCACCCTGTTATTAAGCTGGTTATTAAGAGCAGCTGCCTGCAATTACTGCAGGGTTCGAATCTCGCCAAGGCTCAAGGTTGACTCAGCCTTCCATCCTTTCTAAGGTAGGTGAAATGAGGACCCAGTTTGTGGGGGCAATAAGCTGACTTTGTATAAATATACAAAAGGATGAAGGCTATTGCTGAGCACATTGTAAGCCGCCCTGAGTCTTCGGAGAAGGGCGGTATATAAATCAAATTTAAAAAAAAAATATTCATGTTTTAGTGTCCTTACATCTTCTAGGTTATGCTGTGACCATTTAGTCTTCTTTGCTTAAACAGAGGGCCATTTGTCCAACATAAAGTGTTGATGGACATTTGATAAATTAAAGTCAGCCTCGTGATGAACTTATTATAATGGCTTTAGATATGGTGGATAGCAAATCTAGACCCACACTTATTGTGTTTGTGTTTTATGTGTATGTATATATATACTGAGCTGATATATCTGGATTTTCTTCTATTTAAATATCCTTTTTTACTGGTAGCTGTTTATATGTGCAACATTTGCCACATTCAAGACTACTTTTCTGGAAATGAACTCAATGGAATAAGATCAATGTCTCGGTGGTGTCTTCCTGAATTTAAATTAAAAAGGGAAATTACTTGGCTAATCACTAATTTCTAGACCTGATTTGATGTTTTATTTTTATTCACATAGCAAGAAAAAAAATACAATACCTTTTTTTCTACATGCTGTAACATGCATTAAACAATATCCATTAACTTTTCCAATGTGCTCCTTTGTCATTTATATAAAATGTTTAATGCTTGATTTAGGTTTCTTTTTTCATTATTTTGCTCAATTTTTCATTAAAGTTCAACTTTTGCATCTCAGTAAATTCAGAACTGAAAATCATAAGCTGCTGAATTCATGCTTACTTTTGCATCAGTAATTCCATTTAAATGACCTTGCAAAGCAATTGCTTTCTTCTCTTCACCCATTCCCTTGTTCCTCATAACTTTCTACATTCTAAAGCACTTATAAACTATTTCCTTTCATTTCCTTAATCTTAGAAATGTATTAGCACAAAGTAGAAGTGTTTCATCTTTATCTAAAATCTCTTTCAATTAAAGCTTAACTCCTAATGACTTACATAGATATATTAGTGCAATTTTCTGGCCCAATATGGAAGTAATTTCATTTTGTGTTCTTCCAGGTTGCCCATTTGACTTCTTTATCTAGTCCGGAGTTATACTGAGTCATATTTGGGATGTGTATTTCAGCTGAGGATATAAAATGGGTGAAAGTGAATACAGAAAGAATAGATTCACACATTTAAAAACATTCATGATGTTGAAATTTTCAAATTGTGTTCCCCAGCTTTCTTGCTAAATTGAAAGAAATCTAGCTTAAATCTGGAGAACGTCAGCCAATTAATGTCAGAGATGCCAGATTAAACTGCCCAATGATATAATTTAACAGATGAAAACTTCCTCTGTTCCAAAGTCAACATTACCTGCAGAAGAAGAAAAGTAGCCAGAAAACAGCCTTCCTTCCTTCCTTCCTTCCTTCCTTCCTTCCTTCCTTCCTTCCTTCCTTCCTTCCTCCTTCCTTCCTTCCTTCTCTCCTTCCTTCCTTCCTTCCCTCCTTCCTCCCTCCCTCCCACCCTTCCTTCCTCCCTCCCTCCCTCCCTCCTTCCCTCCCTCCCTCCTTCCTTCCCTCCTCCTTCCTTCCTTCCCTTCTCCCTCCCTCCCTTCTTCCTTCCTTCCTTCTCTCCTCCCTTCCTCCCACCCTTCCTTCCTCCCTCCCTCCCTCCCTTCTTGAATTTATATATTTATCCATTCATTTATTCATTCTACTGCAGCAGAAATTCTCATAATTATTTTTCTTCCATTCAATCGTGTCCAATTCTTGGTGACTGCCTGGATAAATCCCTGCAGTTTTCTTGGCACATTTTTCAGAAATGGTTCGCCATTGCCTCCTTCTTTGGCCTGAAATAAAATGATTGGCCAAGATCACCAAACTGGCTGTGTGCCCAAGGCAGGGCTAGAACTTATAGACTCTGGGTTCTACCTTGTGGCATTAATCACTTCAGCAAACTGTCTTCCTTTTATAACATTAATCATAGTATAATATGGTTCCATCGCTGACTATTGGGGGCGAGATCTTGGCCCCCTCAGAGAGGGCTCGCAACTTGGGTGTTCTCCTGGATACATGGCTATCTTTCGAAGAGCATATGATGATTGTGGCCGGGGGAGCTTTTTATCAGGTTCGCCTGATACGCCAGTTGCGTCCCTTTCTGGACTGGGATGCCCTGCGCACAGTCACTCATGCCTTCGTCATGGTCCGTCTACATGGACTCCCCTTGAAGAGCACTCGGAGGCTCTAACTGGTCCAGAATGTGGCCACGCGGGTGATTATGGAGGTGACATGGCGCACCTATGTAACACCTCTCCTGCGCGAACTGCACTGGCTCCCGGTGGTTTTCCGGGTGTGATTCAAGGTGTTGGTTACCACCTTTAAAGCGCTCCATGGTTTAGGATCGGAGTATATACGAGATCACCTTCTGCCACCAATAGCCTCCCACCGGCCAATACACTCCCACAGGGGGAGGCTCCTCAGGGTGCCATCGGCCAAACAATGTTGACTGGCGATATCCAGGGTGAGAGCCTTCTCTGTGGGGGCACCAGCCCGCTGGAATGATCTGCCCTTAGAGGTCCGTATGATTCCCGACCTATGTACCTTTTGCCGCGGCCTGGAGACTCTTTTATTCCAACAAGCCGGGCTGGCCTAATAGGGATTTTTAAATTGGATGTTTGTTAGTTTTTAAATTTTGTGGGACAAATTTTATATATTTGTTTTTAAATTGTTCTTAAATTTTTTGGTTTATATGTGTTTTAATATGGCTGTACACTGCCCTGAGTCCTTTGGGAGAAGGGCGGTATAGAAGTTCAATAAATAATAATAATAATAATTAATATGGTAAGAGACATATTGGTTGTTCTAAATTTTTGTGAGTTCAAAAATGAAAGTAGTCCTAGTCAATGGTGCATTAACCATTAAGCAGACTAAGCACGTAGGGCACCAGGCCCAAAGGGGGCACCACAAAGTTGAGAAAGGAAAAAAAAATGAAGTTTTGTCTTTCAAGTCAAGACAATTGGAACTTCGATACATTAAA